GCGGGAGTCCAGTTCTCGCAGGGTTGCAGGACATGTGAGGAGATGCGGAATCGGTGAGAATAAAAGCAATTGAGGAATCTCTTAGTTGGCTGATACAGCTCTTTCTCTTTTCTTCTCTGCCCCGGCTCAGCAAGTCTTTATTTTTATACTTAAAATCACACAGTACATAATGATTTGATACTTTGATTTTCCCTTGAATTATTACACAGTTTTAATCACAACATTCCTTTACCCTGTGGTTATACAATCTTAACAAAAGTATTTCTGTGGTGTCCAAACTGTCCTTTCCATATCCTGTTCATTTTTCAACCATTGAACATTTTCCTTTTGACATCATCTCCTCTCCTACGTAAGTGATAAATTGTTTCTTCTTATTCTCACTAAAAGATCAAGTTAAACCTTACACAAATCATTTCTACCTATCAGACCCCTGATTACATCTTCTTAGTAATACAAGTTTCTATTAATCATCGGTGTTTACACTACTTTATTGTTTCTACTAGGTGATTATCAATCTTCTATCCTACATACTACACTACTGTTTTCATAGTAAAAGTATTACTAACATCTACTTAATTATTTTATTTTTCTAAAGTATTCATTAAATTGCGTGAACACAGTGTTCCTATGTTTCTTTCTTTTGAAGCTGTGAGACATAAGGCCCAACCTGGCTTATTGCTGCAGGAAATATAGATTATTAAATTTAGACCATATTTCACTTATGTTCATTATTCTCTGCCTATTTATGTAGGTGCCTGTATGTAATAGTGGGGGTTTGTGGATTCTGGCTGGTAATTGATTGTGGCGAGGTCTATAGGGGTCGGTTAGCTTGACTTTAGTTTGTTATCTGCTTTTGTGGTCTCATAAATGCAGTTACTTTGTACTTAGGTTTTCTGTAAAAGGGAGTAACTTATACAATTCCCTTTGAATTCAAACCATTGAAGCTAAAATAATTGTTGCCAGACCAGTTTCTTCCCAAGGTCTGCAGAGCTCATAGTAAAAGGCTGTGGATATGGCAATATTATGTATTTTTACAAGTGAATTCAGAGTTATCCTAAAAAGGAGATAGAGGCCAACTCCTGAGAATCATCTGCTTTGCATGATGTTTCTCCTTTTGCTGGGACTGTGTCAAACAGCAGAAGTGAAAATGGCTCTCTGCAAACCAACCAACCATCCTTTCTTCTTCTCTCTCTCATCTCCAAGTCAACGGGAGTCTATGGAACATGATTGAACTCAGCCCATTTCTTCATTGCTGCCTTCCCCCCTCTTCCACTCACCAGTAGACCAGTGTGGTCACCAGCAAGCTTACATGCCTGCTCATGTGTTCCTTTTGAGTTTCAGTCTTAGAAGGGGGTTTGTCCTGAAGGAACTTGATTGCTTGCCTTGATGACTTTCCAGAGAACACCTTGTGTATTTTTGTAGTAGCCAGTCATGCTGACATTTTTATTTTGGGCTTATTTGTCTTTTAAAAGATTATCATCTTTTGGCTTAGAAGAGAACACCCTTTCTTACTGGATTTGTTCTCTTCTCTGATGGTTTCTTCTTTCTTTGGTCTTCTCTGAGCTCCTGCTGCTACCCCTCCCAACTGTACCCAATCTCTTCTCCCCATTCACCAACCTACTTACTCCTACCATATGAAATCTTCCTTGAAGTTTCATAAATGTTTCATAATTACCTCTTACCTTGACTTTTCTCCCCTTCTTCTCAATGTTCTACGTTATGTTCTGTGCTTTATTATTTGCTAGAATGTCCCTCAGCTCCCTCCTCTCCAGCTGTTTCTTATTAATCCTTCAGTTCCAGGCTGAGGTGTAACATGAACCAGGAAACATTCCCTCTGTGTTACGACTTCTTTCTCTGCCTTCGCCCACCCCCATCCAGGCTAGGTGCACAGTCTGTTAAGAGCACTTACTTATACCAGTACATTGAAATGGCCCATTTTCTTGTGTGGTTTCTCCGCATGAGTCTGTGAGGTCCATGAGGGGAAGGACAGTACCACAGTGGCTCCCTGATCCTGTGCCACTGGCAGTGCCCACATGGATAGATACTAGACATTGAAGATGTCAGCTAATACGAGGGGGCTGCAAAATCTTCATGGGAAAATGGAAGGAAAAGATAATAGACCCACAAACTTTTTGAAGCCCCCTCATATTTATTGCAGGGTCAAATCACCCTTCTAGGCTATTGCATTATTGGCAACTGTCATTCTGCTGTTTAGGTAAGAAACTACACTTCTATTATTTCTGGTCATTTTCTCCTGCAATTTCCTTAAGGACTTGAAAGTAGGATCTATGCTTACGTGGCTTCAGGATGGATGCCACAGCTTTAGAGCTTTCTGCCCCTTAGACCAGATTCGTTTTTGTTTTTGTCTTCTGAGATTCCTCTTCAGTCTTTTGCTTGCCTTTCTCATGTTTCTGTAGTCCAGCCTTAAATGTATGACTCTATGGTTCTGACATTTCTCATCTTACTGTTAGGTACTATTGAGTTGTTTTATACAGCGGTTCCGCGGGAGAAAGATGAGGCACTCTGCTCCTGTAAAGATTTACAACCTTGGAAACCCTGTGCAGTGTCACTGAGTCGGAACTGACTCCTTGGTACTTAACAAGAACAACAGCAACATAGTGACCCCGTGTCATAGTGTAAAACTATCTCATAGGGTTTCCTTGGCTGTAATCTTTACGGGGGAGTACACTGCCAGGCTTTGGCCTTTGGTAAAGATCCACTGCTGACCAGTGACAGTCTCGTAGGAAGGGAGGCAGTGGAATAAAGGCCAGCACTTGCCCTCCTATTGGTACCATTCAGTGTGTGACCCAACTGGAAACCAGAAGTCAAGAAAATCTTTGATGCAGTCCATAAAGGTCAGTGTCTTGAGGCACAGAAGAGGCTCGATGGTGGTGGGACACACAGAAACCCCAGTGGTTAGGCGTCAAGCTCTTTGAGATGTGGTTAGCTACCTTCTAATCAATCCACGACTCATGATGACCTTATGCACAATGGCCATGCAGTCCTGTAGATTGGTTATGAATTGGACAGTTGTGATCCATAGGAATTCATTGGCTAATGCTATATAAAGGAGCCCTGCTTGTGTATTGGGTTAAACAGTGCGCTGCTAACCATAGAGCTAGTAGTTCAAGCCCACCAGCCATTCCCTGTAATGAGAAAGATGAGGCTGTCTGCTCCTATAAAGATTTACAATCTTCGAAACCCAGTGGAGCAATTCTACTCCATCCTATAGGTCTGCTGTTGTTATTGTTGGTGGTGGTAGTATGCCATGGAACTGATTAGTTCCAACTCATACCGACCCTGTACAGGGTTTCTGAGGCTGTAAAATCTTTACAGGAGCAGAAAGCCTCATCTTTCTCCAGTGGAACAGCTGGTAGTTTTGAACTGCTGACCTTGAGGTTGGCAGCCTACTTCGTAACCACTACGCTACCAGAGCTCCTGTTAGTCGAAATCGACTTGATGTCAGTGGATTACTGGGCCTTATTCCTTAGTCTGTTTGTGTCTAGGAAGCTCTGCTGACACATGTACAGCATCTTAGCAACATGTAGGGCTCCTCTGACAGACCCGTGAAGCTGTGGGTGAGGTGAATTGGCTGGAAATGGAAACTGAGTCATCTGCATGCAATGTGAGGGGCCTGCCACTGAACCCCTAGTGCTTCGTGTTCGTAATTTAGAGGTATTTTTTACTTAGAAGCATAAATGTTCATCTAGGAAGATTCAGTGAGACTCTAATGGGCATTTTTCTAACATGGAAGCTGATTACTTACTTTTATTCTGAATATTAGAAGTTAGTTTGCAAGTTACCAACTTTGTTTGCTGTGGAATTTTAGTGTAAACAAATCTTACTATTAGATTGTTCATTAAATAACATTCTTTGCTAAACTTGATTCCCTCCCCTCTGTCTGCTGTAATTCTGGTGTGGTATTGTGGGTTAATGTACCAGACTGCAAAGCCATTTGAACTGCAAGGTCAGTGGTTCAAGCTCACCAGCTGCTCCTCAGAAACCCTGTACAGGGTTGCTATGGGTTGGAACCTACTCAACGGCACTGAACAACAACAACAGCAACAAGTAAGTTAATGTGACGCTATAGGATCTGCACTGGACTGTGAACCACAAGGTCAGCAGGTCAAACCTACCAGCTACTCTTTGGAAACCTTATATGGGATTGCTATGAGTTGGAACCGACTTGACAGCATTTCACAACCACAGCTTAATGAACACATTTTTTCCTGCTAAGTTATATATCCATACTGGGTAACACAGCGTGTATGTATATTGGGTAATGCAGCACCTTAGCAATTTTGCATTTAATCTTCATTCCTTTTCTGTTGGCAATGGGATATGTACAGTACTTCATGCTCGGCCTGATCTGTAGTTGAGATAAGTTGTTGTTAAGTACTGTGGTGTTGCTACTAACTCATAGTGATCCTGTGTAGCTTTTCTGGGGCTGTTAATATTTAGGGGAGCAGAAAATCTCATCTTTCTCCTATGGAACACCTGGTGGACTTGAACTGCTGACCTTGTGGTTAGCAATCCAGTGCTTATCCTACAGTGCCACTGTGCTTCTCTCATGAGAAGCTGTTGATATTAACTGCATTCGAGCCGGTTCTGATTCAAAGCAACCAGGGTTCCGAGGAGCAGCTGGTGGGTTTGAACACCCAACTTTGCAGTTAGGAGTCCAATGCTTATCCTAAGCACACCAGGACTCTCCTCTTCCAAGGACATGCAGCTGTATTAGGCAGCTGTTTTCCTCTGTGGGCTCTTTTGCTGAGAGACTGATTTTGTTGTGATCAGAATGCCCTGACTACTTTTAAGAGTGTGTATTTTTCTGTGTAGATTGGTGACACTTTCCTGTTTGACACATCAGATGATGAGGAACTTCGAGAACAGTTGGATATGCACTCTATCATTGTCTCCTGCGTCAGCGAGGAGCCCCTCTTCACTGCGGATCAGGTAGAAGGGAGGTTCCCCTCCACAAAAGGAAGAGGGAATATAGAGTTGGAAGAGGATCGCTCACTGTGGGCAATAAACGATGGACTGAGAGAATTCATATATTCTACTTACATTTTATGTTTATATAGGCTTAATGGGTAACTCTTCCAGTAAACAAAAAAACGTATGTAATAAGCAGATATAATTGTGTTAATTGAGAAGAGTTCTTAAAATAGGCATTATTCAATAGTACAGCAAATTACTAAGGGAGGCTTATTGCTTAAAGTAAAATCAGAAAAAAATATATTGTAAATTTCTCCTTTTTTTTTTTTACCACTGTGTAGAAGTTACATAGGTCCTGTGCAACTCTGGGCCACAATCATCAACATTTATTAGAAGTGCATGTTGTGTACCCTAGGAAGAAGTGAGCATTATTCCTTTGGAATGTGCTACTAATGTCAACTCTGTATTCATTGTCAACGAGTGGAGTCAATGTTCTCATTTTCTGAATACTCTTCCCACTTCTCTTGGGCTGTCACAATGTGGTGCAAGAACATATCTTTCTGAAATAAAACGTTCCGTGGCCACTCAGACTATGAATTTGATCTGAATGTTTTTAGTCTGGCCAGACAAGGTCAGTGAGGACATTTGCTCTGGGAAGTTTGGAAAGAGTACTTTAAAGAGAAACCAGGAAGATCATTGCAAGTCCTTTGTCATTGTGTCATTTGAGTGCTTCTTAGTCATACTTGTGGTTGGATTGTTCTAGGAGGAAAGGGTGTGGTGCAAAAAAAGCAAGGTAATAATAGGTTAGAGTGGTGTCTTGAGGTACAGCAATGTTCCAGGCTCAGGGTGACCCTGAGGGTTTGTCCCCTCAGCAATTGGCCTGAGTACGTGTCATAAGCCATTCCTGTTTTTTAAGATGTAACATTTAAAGAAACAAATTCTGCAGCCTCCCATAGGGTGTCATTGTACTTAACAATGTCTGCTTGGGAAAATCTTCCCACTGATTAGCCCTGGAGATGTAGTGGTTAGGCTGTTAACTGGAAGGTGGGGTGGGTGTTCAGACCCACCAGCCTCTCTGCAAAATAACTAAGTGGCAGGCTCCTTGTGTAAAGATGTACAGCCTTGGAACCCCGTTCTCTGAACCCCGTTCAGAGCTCTGCTCTGTCTATGAGTCTGTCTATGAGTCGGAATCAATTCCTTGGCATGGGGTTTGGTTTTTGGCTTCCTGCTAATTAATATCCCACCTGCTACGATTTACATTTTTTTTCTCAGTTTGTTTAACCTATTAAGCTTACTGATGTATTTAAAGCATGTTAAATATGCACATGTTAATTTTACCCCTTTATTGTATATCCTTTACCCTTTTGTTTTCAATTGTTAGGTCCTATTTTCTAACTCTTGAAGTGATTTTTCTGGCTTCCTTTTAAATTTTCAATGAGTTCTATATCCTTCTCCACTTTTAGACTCTAGAACCAGGACAAGACACTGTTGTAGGAGTTAAGCAACAATGCATTTCTCAACAATGCATCTCCTTATTGCCTAAATGGCAGGTGTAGTTATGTATTTACTAATTTTTCTCCCTAAGCTTCTACATTTGCAGTTATTTATTATATAACCCCTTGTCTTTCATTGAATTAATATGTGAACTTCTTTTTCTGATGTTAAAGGAAAGTTATGCTGGCATAAAGGTAATTTTAAATTGCTTTAGGTTTCAGTTGTTGTACACTTGTATTTTTTAAAGTTTTTGTCACTTTGATCAAATTTAGATTGAGCACTTGCATGGTAAATTTCCTGTTATTTGCTTTCTTTTTTCTTTTTTTTTAATTTGCTTTCTTTTAACTGTATGTTTATAATCTGGTTTTGGAAATAGTGTTTATAGCATCAGCCACTACAAAATCTGGTAGGGCACATGTACTGAATCATGGAGGACATACTAAATTGTATTCTTATTTTTGTGTTTATTATGTTGTGAGTTTTTTTGTAAACTGATTAACTATGTTAAATCTTATAACCAGAATTTGATTATTTGGAACATCCAATCCTGCACACTATGGGTTATGTATACTTTTGGTTAATAGAGGATTTCATACATTTATATTCTAGTTCCCTTAGGTGATTATCACATTACAGAGAGATCATTTTTTTATGTATAGCTAGTTAATATTGGTGTGTGTTTTTTCAAAGGTTATTGAAGAAATCGAAGAAATGATGCAAGAATCCCCAGACCCAGAAGATGATGAAACCCCCTCACAGTCTGATCGACTCTCGATGCTGTCCCAGGAAATTCAGACCCTGAAGAGATCTAGTACAAGCAGTTATGAAGAGAGTAAGAAACTCAAGACAATGCTTTTTGTGCTTGCTGTATATATCAGACATACAGTCATACTATCTCATGAAAGCTTTAATTCTTACAGGCAGTACCCTTCCCTGGACTTCTAGTAAATACTCTGTACACAGTTTTGCCATTGCCTAGGGACTCTATCTTCTTCCAGTAAAACCATATTACTTATTCCAGTCCATAGCATAAAATATATTTGTTGCGGTTGCTGTTAGGTACTGTCAAGTCAGTTCCAACTCATAGCAACCTTGTATAGGGTTTCTGAGGAGCGGCTAGTGAGTTTGAACCACCAACCTTGCGGTGCAAACTGACCTTGCAGTCCAGTGCATTAACCCGCATTGCCACACCAGGACTCCGTATAATACATCCTCAGTCGTTGTTTGTTCCTTACATGTTTGTCAGTCGGTTATATGTGGTGTCTTATGTGTTGCTGTGATGCTGGAAGCTATGCCACTGGTGTTTCAGATACCAGTAGTGTCACCTATGGTGGACAAGTTTCAGTGGAGCTTCCAGACTAAGAAGGAATAGGCGGTCCACTTCTGAGGGGTGTACCTCTGTAAACCTTATGAATAGCAGTGAAACATTATCTGATATAATAATGAAGAAGAGCCCCTCAGTTTGTAGGACGCTCAAAATACAACCTGACTCTTCAAAATAGAGTCTTTCTTAATGAAGTGAATGGATGGAGCAAAGCTTTTGGGACCTTTATTTACTGATGAGGTACAACTGGAAAAAAAAAAAGTCGCAAACATCCATTGATGTTACATGGTATCGACGAAGTGTAATCAGAAATGAAATGGAATAGAATGGATGAAGATTGAAAGCCTAGGCACTGATGAGCTGAAATGGGCTGGGATTGACCATTTTGAGTCAGACAATCATGGTTTATTGTGCCAGGAGGAGGGACAAAGAGGATTGGCACCATTTTCACTATCAAAAAGAACCTTTCAAGAACTGTCAGAAATAGAATGCTGTGTGTGATAGTAACCTGTTAATTCAGCCTGTTATTTACATGTACACAACAGCCACCAAAGCCAGTGATAAAGCAATTGAAGTTTCTACCAACTTTTTCAGTTTGTAATTGATCAGATATGCAATCCAGATGCATTGATAATTACCAGTGATTGGAATGTGAAAGTTAGAAACAGAGGAGAGATTGATAGTTGGAAAATGTAACCTTCATGCTGAAAATGATGCTGAAGATAATGGGATAAAATTTTACAACATCAGTGACTTATTCACTGTAAATACCTTTTCTCAACAACATAATCAGTAACTGTACATTTGGACCTTGCCAGATGAAATACACCTGAATCAAATTGACTACATCTGTGGGGCAAGACGGTAGAGAAGTTCAGTAACATCAGCCAAAATGAAGTTCCAAAATCTGTGGAGCAGATCATCATATGTTCAGGCTGTGGTTGAAGAAAATTAAAACATGTCCAAGAGAGCCAAAATAGGACCTTGAGTAGATCCCTTCTGAATTAGAGACCATCTCAAGAACAGATTTGATGCACTGAATGCTAATGACCCAAGAGCAGAAGAGTTGTGGGATGATAGCAAGAACATCATACATGAAAAATAAAAAAATGGTAACATGTTAGTCACAAAAGAAAGAAAAGACAGAAGTTGAATGTCAGAAGAAACTCTAAAACTTGCTCTTGGACTTACAGTAACTAAAGTTAATGGAAGAAATGAAATAAAAGACCTGGCAGAAGATTTCAAAAGT